TGCAAAATAAAAAGAAAACAGCTACTTTCAAATTATACTTACTCATCTTTCCATCATCTCATGTGTGAAATACTCAATTTATCCATTAGCCCTGTTGAAAATGCAGCCTGTCTCTACGGAGATGTACGTGTAGGCTTAATTCACTGAATTCAGATTTGGCTATCAGTTATTCCTGAGTCTTTTCACATAGTTTCTGTTTAGCTCTCATCATAGTCTCTGTTCTGCGCTTTTTGATACAGACTCAAGGTGATCAAGAGACCTAATGGATACTAAAAAAGCAGTAAAATGATTCAGACACAACAAATAATGCATATAGAAGTCTGGGAGAATATTCCATGGAGAAATAACATCTTGGTGAAAGCCTGCTTCTGTTTTTTCAGAAACACTAAAGATCACGCGGTTAGAAGATGAACATGAAATGCCCCCTCCCTGGAAGCATTCAAGGCCAGGCTGGATGGGACTTTGAGAAACCTGGTCTAGAGGGAGGTGTCCCTGCCTATAGGAGGGGGGTTGAAACTAGGTGATCTTGAAAGTCTCTTTCAACCCAAACCATTCTGTGATTCGATAAGATACACAAACTCCATGGCTACTAGAAATGATTAAGAAAATAACGTGAATGGTCACAAGCAGACTATTTCTAAGTAGTAAAAATAGTTATTCCACTCACAAAGACCCAGAAGCTATTATTTGAACAATGATATCTTCCACCATAGTGTGGCAATATGCTTAAGTAGTCACCGAATCTCAAAATATCGTGAGTTGGAAGGACCACAAGAATCATCAAGTCCAACTCCTGGCTCCACACAAAACTAACCAAAATTCAAACTGCATTTCTGAGTGTTGTTCAAACACTTCTTGAACTTCAGCAGGCTTGGGGCCAAGAACACTGCCCTTGGGAGACTGTTCCAGTGCCCAACCACCCTCTGGTGAAGAACCTTTTCCTTATGCCCTGACGCAGCTCCATGCCATTCCCTTGGGCCCTGTTGCTATCACCAGAGTACAGCGCTGCCCCTCCTCTCCCTGTGAGGAGCTGCAGTTGCCACCAAGCCTCTTTTCAGCCTCCTTTGCTCTGGGCCGAACAAACCAAGCTGCTCCTCACCCACCTTGCCCTATAGAGCCTTTACCATCTTCCTTAGGTGTTCTCTAGTATATTTCTTTCCTCATTTTTGTAGTGCCCAAAACTGCACACAGTGCCCAAGGTGATGTCACACTAGTGCAGAGCAGAGTGGAAGAACCCCTTCCCTCACCTGGTGGCAGTGCTGGGCTGGTGCACCCCAGGGTACGGTTAGCCCTTTGGACTGCCAGGGCACGCTGTTGACAAATGAAACTTATCAACCACAACCCCCACATGCCTATCCGTGAGGCTGATCTCCAGTCTTTCTTCCCCCAGTCTATACATACATCCAAGGTTTTCCTTTCCCAGGTACAGAATGCAGCACTTGCTTTGTGGAGCATCATATGCTTGGTGGTTTCCCGGTCCTCCAAGTTGTCAAGATCTCTTTGCCAAGGATTCTTTATGCTCAAAGGAGTTAGCAGCTCCTTCCAATTTAATGCTGTCAATGAATGTACTTCATATATCTTCAAGTCCTGTATCCAAGTCATTGATGAAAACACTGAAGAGAACTGGCCCTAAAATGGAGCTCAGCAGAACCTTTCTAGTGACTGGCTGCAAGCCTGATGTAACCCCAAACTCATTGACTACTTGTTCATCCAGAAGACAATCACACACCTTCCAAAAGAATTACCATTAGCAATGACCAGTGTGGTACTCACAGTATAAGTCTGTTTTTAACCAGTGATGTTCTAGGATGCTTAGGCCCATTAGTCTGTTTTCTACAAAGCTCTACATGCTTATTCATCTGTTCGTATCTACTCTGAGCCTAGTTGCAAATAACATTGTGGTGAGTCAGCTTGATGTAAACTATCATTACAAAGACCATCTGCTACAGCACATTTCTTTCTGTTCAAAGGCCTCACAAGCACTAGCTGAATGAGGTCATTTAGCAAGATTCAATAAGGGCTAACATCTAGTGTAAAAATATTATTGGTCAAAATCACACTAGGCATACAGTATCCTGTAACAATGGCTCCAGAAGGCAGTTAGTATCAGGACTAATCAGTGAAGTGCTATCTGATTAAGCAAGTTATAGCTGGGTAGTCAGTAGAATATCTATTCTATGAATGGCATAAACATTGGTAAAAAATATTGAATGCAATGAAACCATTGGCTCATCACATCCAAGAAGAAACACTGCAGCATAATTCTGAGATTTGATATTTTTGTTGCTTGCCATGATAAATTAAAATGTACCACAGACATCTACTGATGAGCACAACAGGTTGTAGGTGTACCAGAAATACAAATAGAAGTCAGTAGTCAGCTCCCAGTACTGCACTTCCAATGATTCTTTTATGCAAAGTGCCACTTGGAATTAGTCAAGGATGCATTTTTTCCTCTTCAGTATTTGTTCATTAATATGTATAATAAGCCCTATCATTTCTGTTACAAACTTTGCAATATACTGAGTTGTTCACCATAGCTATTTGAATAATATGAGGTATAATTTTATCGTATAAAAGAATTTAAATGAGTATCATTAACATCATTGATGCTAAACAGCTGTGAAGAACTTCTCCAAACCAAGGGATGGAGTATAAGGAATAGGACAAGTGTCAATTTTTGTGTCTGTTTTTTACCTCCTTGTTTTCAATGTTTTGTATTTTTGCACATTGGAGTTCAGTCAAGAATTGAGAGTTTTTTCATAATTCATTTCACCTTCTAGGTGACTGAAATGCTGTTATCAAAATTAGTCTGCAATTCACTAGCTAGTAAATTTACACCACAGATAAATTTGCTGCTTACTCAATCTTGCACACTCCCAAATAAGCGTATATGCTCCTGATGAAAATATGAGTAGTGTTATGATGCATGTATGGGTCTGTATTCTTTTTCATCAAATGGCTTGCAAACTCAATCTAAGCATATTTTAATCTGGTAAACTCAACTAAATTATTTCTTTTTGAAAGATTTCAAGACAGAAATCAAATGAAAATTTTGTTTGAATTCAAGCAGATTACACACACTCAGGAACATATTTATGAGGCTTCAACATTAAGCAACATATTTGTTCTCCATGAAAACATGAAATATAAGAAATATATTTTTTCAAAATTTCACAAGGTGAAATAATCCTTAACATATTATTATTTTTCCTTTTGTCATCTTGTGAAGAATAGCAATGCATAGAGTACTGGCTGTGAAGAATTACCTGTATCTGAAATGTTTCTCTGTGTGTATATTTTACTTGTAAAAACATCAAAGGAATGACTCAGTAAATGGGATAATACAATCACATTGTCCCATTTTTTACAATCATAACATTCTACTAACAGGTCAAATTCAGATACCTTTCCCCAAACTTCTTTTGCTAATTTATTCGTCCTTAATAGACATGGTCAGTAATTCTGCAATAAGGACTACCTGCTGTCTAAACTAGTCTGCCATTCTGTTTTTGGAAACAATAGTATGAAATACAAGAAAACAAAAATTAAAATACCCCTCCTGCTTTTACAGGGATAGCCTGTAAGACAGAAGTACAGAATTGGAAGAACTGGAAATCATGAAGTCCAACTCCCAGCTAAAGTAGCTTGCTGGAGAAAGTTTCCAGGTGGTTTTTTGCTATATCCAGAGAAAGAGACTCCACAAGCTCTCTCTGCAGCCTGTTCCAGTGTTGTGTAATACCAATGCAAAAAAACTTTTTTCTCATTTTCATAGCAAACTTCTGCTTCTCCAGTGTGGGCTCATTGCCTCTGTATCTCGGCCTAACTGAAAAGAGGCTAGCTCCATCCACTTGACATCCACCCTTTAGATATTTGTAAGCACTGATAACATCCCCTCTATGTATTCTCTTCCCCAGACCCTAAGGATATCTATAAATTGTTAAGATTAATTTTAAAGATTGTTTAAAGGCTCTAACAGGTATTATCTATGGCATAGACACAAGCATGAGTCTGACCACTTGTAGAAACATGACTTAACTGCGGCATACCTACATATTTTTCTCTCCTCAATCAAACAATTGCAAAGTTCCGAATTTTATGGGATGTTTTCCTGGGCAGCTGGCTAGATATAATACATGCCTTTGTAAATACATGCAAATACATGTACTACTTTTTTTTTCTTCTTCTTTTTTTCCAGCAGAAGGAATGTAAATATTAAGTGCATTAAAAATATAGCTGTGCTTTCCTGTTTTTTGGTTTTTTGTTTTTAGTAACCTACTGCAAAAATTACTGCAATTGTATTTGAGGTAGAAAATCTAAAAATGAAAAAAAAAATGAATTGCTATGCTTTTTCTTCCTTCCCTCCACCTCCTCCCAGTATTAAATAGATAGTTACTAGTTAATACTAGTTAATTAAAAAATGAACATATTTTTGTGAATGCAACAGTACTGGCTTGGGTTACCTATAAAGTTTATGGCTGTTTTGCATGTCATCACAGAAATCTCAGCCTTAGCTTGGCACCAGCAGCCAAAGCTCATAAAAGCAGATTGTAAGTGTTGTAAGAAATATCAACAATTCAGCATCATGTAGAGTGCTATGATTATTATTTTCTTGTGCTGATGATATAATAGTTCTTATATTCATATACTGGCCTATATTTTAAACTATTTATACTTGCCATATAAACAAGTTAAAAATCAGATCTGAAATGCAAAAACACTGCAATAAAAATTAATTGAATTGTTATAGTAAAGTAAGTACTGCCGTTGGAAAAACTACTGGACAAAAACACATACATGAAAACACATTTTAATGTGCAAGAAATATATAACCAATTTTTATTATCAAAGTACTGAAAGGGTAGGGTAGTTAGTTTCTCCTCAGACCAGGCAAATGTGAATTCCCCATAACACTAAGGTAAACGTTTGCCATTTGACCATCCTATTACACAATGTAAAATGGGAATCTTAAATAATATCAAAATCACACTGACTCTTACCAGAAAAGACACTGGGGATCTTGGAAAGAAAACTTTTGACTGTACGAATAGGAATCCCATTTTTCTCATCTTGCATGCGAGCTATGACGTCTTCCATCTGAACACAGATAAAAAAAAAAATAATGAAAGGAAGAATAAAGAAAGTCAGAATTATTCCTGTAAGAACTTCTACAATAAATCCTAGGTCAATCTCTCAAATTAAGGGTCCACTCTTGCTACTTTTTTTAATTTACAATTTTTATTTTAGATTTTTTTTTTAGCAAGATAAAGTATTGGAAGTACTTTACCATAGTCAACAATAACTTAATGTATGGGCTCAAGGTCTTTAGAGAATGAAATATCAGAATAGAAAAGGTATAAAGTGGATAAAAATGGTTCAATATTGCTGGATGCAAAATTTAATGTTTGATGGTATTACTGGTATTGTATTGAATATGAAAGTATAATACATTCATTCATCCTTCCACAGTTCTGACATAGTTGTCAAAGGCTGTTCAAAACAAAAGATAGAGCCTTGAAGTTCAAAGCAAAAAATCCTTCTTTTGTTTTGAGAAGTGAAAAAACTATGAAACAATGCAATTTTGCATCCCTGGAAAAAGCGGGGCCAGAAACAGAATTTTTTTTAATAGCTAATGGAGTGGATATAAAAACATTTAAAATGATTTTACTCTAATTTTCTCATATTTTCCTCATTAACTCAATTTTAAAGGATATTTTGATCCATAAATTTTATAAATCAAGCTCAATGCAAAGGTTCACTTTCATTTGAAATACAAACACTTTTGTTGGAAAATACAAAGATTGTTTAGACAGAATCATTGGCTGACAATACAATTTTTTATTTTTTGCAAATTTCATAGTGGATCTTAATTACATAATAAATAACTTTCACCTTTCTTCCTTTTCTTTCTTTAAATGCCTTACCTCTCAAAATATAAAATAATATTCTGGTAAAATAAATTACAACTATCTTCTTTCCTTAATTACCAAAGAAAACTGAATCTCCATCTGACTGAACGTTTCATATTACTAGTCAAATCTTAAAAAAACTGGGGTATGTCATCTATGTTCCCCAATAAGTAGTAAATCTGGGGGGGAGGGGGGGGAAGTTTTAAAAGTTTGTGACTGGGTGATGTGGAAAAAAAGAGAAAAACAAATTATTCTAACACCTTTTTTTCTGCATAAGTCTGATGACTGCAATCAGCAAATAGCAAATAAGCGTTATTAGCAGCTATGAATAAATTCCCATAGTGGAGATGTGTACAAATGCAAGAAAGGGAGAGGGAGCTGGGATCACATACATAGTGTACATGCCAAAAGTGAATATAAAATCAAACACTTCCACTGCTTATGGAAAACCTGTTTATGCAGTGTCTGGAGATTCAAATGTTCTCTCTAGTAACAGATCACATATTAGCAATCCAAGAAACACAAATCCAGTGGCGTAGTCCAAACCAAAAAAGTACAGCGAAAAGCAGACACTGTCCAATAGCAAGATGTGGAACGCTGAGATTCCTGTTCTCTTTTAAACAGTATACAAATACAACTCCAAAGAAAGGCAGTAATAGTTTTTTTTCTGTGTCAATTTACGACATTCATTTAGCATGCAATTTTATTATTTAAGTAGAAAAAGCTATGAATTATGTTCCAAAGAAACAGTCAAGTAGACAAGCTGTTGTCTACAAAATGGAATCTGTCCCTACATTTATTGTCCATACAAATAAGTGAAAGTTTCCTTCAACTCCCCAATTCATGAGCTTCTAAATGTGAACGAAGTCTCTCAAATTCAAGTGAGTATCTTTGCTTCAAACAATAAAGTACACTTAGAGATATAGGGGTATTCTGCAGAAAAAAAATGTACATAAGTAAATTTGATGATAAATTGTGCACATGCATTGTAAGCAATGTAAAGCAACATGATAAAGATACATTTACATTATAATAAGTGGAACTCAATCCGGAAACACGATATTCCAGAGAGTGATATGCAGATACTTCTTCCTTAGGAATGCACAAAAGTGCAAGCAGTGACTAGCATTATTCATACTGTTGGTAACCACTCTTTCGAGTGTATATGGAATAAATTACTGACGTTCACATATGCTTCCCTAAACTTGCGTCATGGACAGGTTTTAAGCTGAAGTGCATAAAACATAATTAGGACAGTGAGATCTTGGATGGCTGAACTGCAAAATTACACACCTCCTGCAGGTCTAGCTCAAAATATTGTTCTGTGTCAAGTGTGAATACCCTTTATGCAAAAGTCAGCTTGCATGCCAGACATCACTATTGTGAGCAGGTTGGTTAGTTCAGCATGAAAAGATTACTGCATAATAACTGGAAATGATCTGACAAGATAAAACACAACACACACCTTACCAGTTATAATTGACCTGCTAGTCTTTTCTATCAAGCAGACTACTAAGCTTTATTTGTCTTGTACCTTTTGAACTGCAAGACTAAAGTCTTTTATTTTTATGGTCATCCTAAACCTCAAGGTGTGATTTTTTTTTTTTTTTAAAGAAGAGTTTCAATTAAATGTTCAAAATCATCTAATCCAGCCTACAAAGTTGCACAGTTTAACTTCAAGTACACGTAGTCCCTTTTTCTGCAGTTTTGGCTGTTTTAAATGCAGCAAACGTATAATCTCTTCCACAGAAAACATGTCCTCATTTAATTATATTTGGGAAACAGCAGTAGAGGCTGCCATTCATCAACAATGATTTAAGACAATGAGAAGGGCAAAATGTTTTAATTAGAATGATAAACAAAAATATTTGTCTAAATTTGCTTAAGAATTCTAATCTGAGAAACATAAGCTGATGCCTGATGTAGAAATTCTCCTTTTTTTTTTTTTTTTTTTTTTTTTTTTTTCCCCATCTGAGTAACCTGACCTGATGCTCATAAGGGAAACATAGCTCCTTCATTTCCCCTCATAATTAGGCTTTCCTAGTGTTTTATCTCCTGCTTACCTTGCTAAACCTCACCAGCTTTAACCATGCAATGGGATTAACTTTTTTAGCCCTAAGCCTTCTTGGAGAAGTCAAAGAAAACAAGTGCACAAACAACTGCCTCATGATCATTCTCAAAACAAAGCTTAATATGCATGAGAAAAAAAATAAGTTATATAAGCACACTTCATAGCACTCCTCAGACACAGTTACAGAATTAACAGGGAAAGTATACTAGAAAGTGGTTTCCAATGCAGCAAGGATTCTGCAGGTGTTTTCTGAGTAATTCCAAACATCAAAGACTGTGTCATTTATTTACTACTGAGTCAGTTCAAACCCTGGCAAAGCTCATTAAACTTCTGATACCTGAGGCAACTCAGACCAAACTTAAAACACAATATTGTTATTTAAAACTTCACTCACCTCCTTGTGAAGACAATTTGCAATCTTGGTCTTGATATATAAGTGTAACTGTCAAATTTATTTCAAAGACAAACTCTATGACAACACTGACAATGCATCTAACGTGAAGAAAAAATATGACTGTGAGAGCTAGGAATGGGGAAGTACGTGGCCTTGCACACGGGCAGAACACACTGACAGCTGACAAGACTTCAGGCAGTGGTATGTGAGTATAGGAGAAATAGCTTAAAGTTATCAAGACAGAAGCAAAGGTGAGAGTTTTCAGTTGAGCGTACTTCTAATGGTTGGATGAAGAACTGTGCTAATTTGGCTAATTTTCTTTTTTGATGGTTGTACGAGGTTTCTGCCATAAGGGATACAATTCCCCTCCTCTGTCTTTAATCAGTTTCTACCCCAAAGGTATCTCCATGATGGACAGTGGAAGGCTTGACAACAAACACATACCAGTATCCGTTATGTACTTACAGCTGGGAGAAATGAATCCAGCTCCTAGGAACAGAATTTTTATAGCTTCTTAAATTTCAAAGACGTGGTTTGGGATGACCCAGATCATTAAATTTGTAAATCTAAATTCAATTACTAAGCATACAGATCTTGCAAAAAATAATCTCTCTGCTCATAATTTGGCATTGGTGCTTCATAAGAAGCGTTTTTCATGTGAAGCAGTATTACCTATATTTGCTCTTGCTTTCAACAGTGATCTTATTTTGAAACTCCATTTTACTATATGTGGTTCCTCCACATTCTCTACTGGAGATTTTCTGTTGAAATGCTCATCAGCTAAAAAGCCTACAATTACAGGGTACAGAGAATTGGGGAGAAAGCCTTTTGCTGTGCTTCACTGAGGTAAAAATTTGTGTGTTTAGATGAAAAGCTGAATTACCCCATCAGACCCAATCTAGTTGCTCCAGCCTATTTCTTCCCATGTGAGCTGCTCTTTGCATGGACTACACACATCAACAATCACTGTAATATCCTTCTTTAATTAAATCATCACAGTGCCACTTGAGAGATGCCTAACTCAGTGAACCAGGGGGCTTTTTCAGCAAGTCAAGCTGCATCACAGAGAAGTAAAGAGCACAAAACACAGCAACTCCCAGGAGGCTGCACCAGCAAGCACAGATACAGACAAGATGATCATCACATAAAATATTTCAGTGATGTCCACCAAACTAAAGCAAATCACCTCAGGTCAGGAATGTTGACAACTGTTTTTGTAAATCATATAGAAATGAAATAGATGACATCTCTGTACCCAGGATTTTAGCATTTTTCCTCTCACACAGTATTGGATTATTTCAATACTTTCTTCCACTTAGGATGAAATCAAAGTTTAAACCCTTCACAAGCCCATAACATTACATTTCTTTGAAGTACAAAACTGAAAGTCGGCTTCAAATATCTAAGAATGATCGCACTGGTAATGACAGACATGCATAGGAGTAGGGAGCTGCCCTAAGAATCTCCAATTAGAGAATAATTTATTCAATGAAAATAATCTGACTTTTTAGATTGCTTTTATCCTCTTCAAAACCTCTATTACTGCAAAAATTATTTGACACCATAAAATCAAATGAGACTCATAGAATCATAGAATAGCTCAAGTTAGAAGAGACCTTGAAGATCATCAAGTCCAACTATAACTCTAACAACCCGCCACATGTCCCTGAGCACCACATCCAAACAGTTTTAAACACATTCACAACCACCTCCCTGGAGAGCA